AGAGGAATTTATTGAGAGCGTAGAATTTGTTGTGAACACCGGGAGTTCTGATGAGGATGAGTTGTCAAGTGATGATAATGAATGAAAAAAGTTAAAGGTTGTGTGTTAATTTAGTCAATGTGAGTGTTATTAATTTCAATATGATTGTTTCAATAACTGTCCATATTTACACACCAGAAATGCATCAGAATTCAAAATTGTGTTAAAAATCTAACAATTTTAAATGTGTTTTTGTAAATCCAAGTATAAATAAATGATTTTAATGTTTCCCCCTGATGTTATGCAACTCATATAGCGCGTGGCCTACTTATTTATATTTAGGAAAGAATCAAATTTTGCATCAGAATGTACGGCCTAAATTTCTAGCGCCTTCGGACCAGAGACATGGACTCCATGTCTCTGCTTCGGACACGCCCTGTCAGGGACTTTCTGAGCTTGGTGGCACTGTAAAATATCAAGACTTTGTGGGAATGTTTGCGATTGACTTTTCTTTAAATTCAAGTTCAAGTAACAGAAACAAATCGGTTTCGCACAAAGGGCAAAAGTTTGTGCAATGTCACGTAACTATCCACAAAACACGAAATTTTCGCTGAATTACACGATGTGTTGTCTAAAAGATTCACTGTATAATCAATGCCTGAAGCAAATGCAACAAGTGAACTAACTCTATGGTAGCTACTAATTAAATACAGAGCTCCGAGGCAAGTAAACAAACACGAAACAAAATTTGATAACCCACGGTTGTGGTTGTCCTAGGTTATTGGATAAACACTTACCAAAATAAACAAAGTTTAGCCATTAGCCATTCACTAAAACACAAGCAAAATACTGGTTAACCCAGGTTAACCGGTTTTCTGTAATAACAAAGTAAACAAATCAGGAAGTAAACAATCAGATAAAGATGAACAAACACTGTTTCTGTATTTCACTACTTCTATAGTTCTATGCGTCATCCGTATATTTTTTAATGCACTAAAATCCGTTCGCACAAATTATTTGTAAATCCGCGTATCTGCTCCTCGTTTTGTTAGAGTTCTCTCTACTCTACGTGCGGTAAACCCATCGACTATCGAGAAAGTAAAATAAGACCCATCGAGAAAGGGTAAACCTGCATGCAGAATGCAGATTAGGTACATTTCTGCATGAATCACTGATAAAATAATGTCCTTGTTCTTGTCTGTTCGGCGGCAGCGGGGCGCGAGTGTGTTTTGTTACCATATGCACTATGCAGTTTCTATTTTTATCTGCAATGTGCACACTGCACAGGGTGCTCTCTTTATCAGGTGTATTGAATATTTCTTTTACACTTGAGAAACGCATGACAAATATTTCCAGAAGTGCCTCCGGTAGTCTTTTATTTCTTGCTTTGAGAGAAATACGATGCATTAAAAGCTTCTCTTTTTTTGGGAGTTTCGCGGTCACAAGCTGCGAAAGCACTATATAGTTCCGGAAGCGTGCCGTGCTGGGAATGGGTTAGGTTCCGTTCTAGTTCCCGTGACGTTTCAGAAAATTTATTTATTACTTCATTAAAACTTCAATCTCAGATGCGATTTGGAATCAATTCACCCTCCAATCTGGGAATTAAGATCTATAACCATTTACCTCACATAATACGTAACTGTAGGCAATTATCAATCTTTAAAGAAAAATTATATTTGTTTCTAGTTGACAAATGTCACTATGATATAAGTGAATATCTTACTGTTTAATGTAACTTGTTTGTCGCTATTTAATGTGTAATTTGTTTTTTACCTATATAATACTTAATGTACCTACTCCCTACTCGTAATTTAAATATTTGTTGACAATTTCCACACAAACTAGTTTGTCTATGGAATAAAATACTATTATTATTATTATTATTATTATTTCAGGATTTTAATTTGGAAAATAATGTGCTTTGGTTTGTGCAGAAATACATGCCTACAGGCTGCAAAAGTGCAAACTCGGTGTACTTAACCTTTTGGTTTGCGATTTGTTTCATAAAGATAATTTGGACATCATTTGCATCTGCAATAAATATTTCTACACATTCCTAACCTAAGATTTAGTGCTTGACCAGCCAAAATGCATAATGCACAAAATTTAGAGGTTATGTTGACGCTCCATCACAGAGGTTTTTTTTATCTCGCTGCCGCTTCATATCATAGTGGCTTCATCCTTCATGATGCCGTTCGTAATTTGCTCCAGTGATCACGTGACCTTTTGCACCGTACCATTGACCTCTTTTTTATTTGGATCATAGTCCGAGAGCTGGTAAAGCCCGCTTGACATGGAGCAATAAAAATTGCAATTGCATGCAAGTTGCAAGAAAAATTGCGAAAGGCATGCGCAGTTCAAAGCCAGCTGATCAATTGCTGCAAGAAACTTGCATGCAATTTTTATAGGACCGGTGCTATTTTTCTTGCATGAATCGTGCAATTCTAGGGATAAATCTAGTTGTTTTTGTGGCACCAACCTAGTAAAATACAGCGGCGGCAACTGTGATGCTGAGAGACGCACTCATTACTTGTTTTTACTAATCTTATTTATTATTCTTGTAATTTTCATGTTTCTTCAAGCAATCAGAATTTAATTTTCATTTGAGGTTAACAACTTTGTTGACAAATCCATATGTTTCTTCTGTTGGCAGACATGTGGCAATTGAAATAGAATTGCACCATGTCAAATACCGTATGATCGAAGCAAATACCATGCAATGCTTATTGCATGCAAGGATTTGACCTTGCAATTTCTTTCTGCAAGTTCTTGCGCGTAGTATTGCTCCATGTCAAGCGGCCTTAACATATTTTTGGGTACGTATTTGGGGCACGCTGAAAACTTGTCCAATACTTCTTCCAGAATTGCACATCTGGCTGAGGAGAAGCGGGGCTAACACCTTGCCAGGCGCCTTCAAAATTTGAAAAAATAATGTATGGTATGCCCAGTCAAGTATCTGTTAATGCGTAAGTAGTATGTGGATGATCTACACACTGACACACTGTCGTCAGAATTAGTTGTAATGGAAGCAAATAGTTGCGTGTGTTACAGGTTTTGAAAATTCGCCCAATTAAAAATTTTCATTTAAATTTGGGAGGAGCTTAACTGCATCTGTTGGGTGAACACAAAATAGGTGTACCTACATGTATTTATTGCGACCCATTGTTGCGGCCAGTATACCCTTCAAATCAGGAGTCCCTTGGCCCTGCGTCATTGATATATGTGAATCAATTTCAGAGAAGTTTTTTTATCGATTTCCCACATTTGATAGTTGTTACAGTGTTTTAGCGTATGTCTAAAATTGATTCACAAATCAATGACGCAGGGCCACAGAGTCCTAATTTCAAGCGTACATTATTTTTTCAAACTTTGAAGGCACCTGGCGTGTTAGCCCCGCTACTCCTCAGCCAGGTCTGCAATTCTGTGTTTGGGTATTATTGGAGTATTCGACAAGTTTTCAGCTTGCCTCAAATACGTACCCAAAAATGTTACCAGCTCTCCTACTATCAGTACACAGTACGTTCTGCAAGGTTAGTATATTAAGGCGGCCCCACATTACATGGCAAACTAGACGAACGTTGGTGATGCGTCGCTTTAATTTGTACATGTTAAATAATTTTACACTTTTGGCGTTTATTAACGATCCTAGAGATCGTTTATAATTTTGTATTGCTGTCTGTCGTCTGTCTGTTGGTCTGTCCGTATGTTCCTTTGTCTGTCTGTGTGAACGATAACTTTGTTTAGAAATGTCCGATCGCTTTCACATCTCCGTTAGTTATGAACTGAATTGCATGAAATTCAATATGGGCTTAGCTTCAGTCATATAATACGCAATGCCAAAAGTTGAGTTGAATCGATTCAAAATTCACCATTTATAAACCGAATTGCAAACCTTTTTATTTATAAAAGTATTTAAGTGAAATTTGAGACATAGGTGCTTGGAATAAAGGAAAATCTAACGCCAGTTTCAAAATTTGGTTTTTGCGCATGCGCAGTGCCAACTTTTTTTATTTATGGAAGCATTTAAATGAAATTTGATACATAGGCACTTGGAATAAATGAAAATCTAACGTTAGTTTTAAAATTTAGGTTTGCGCATGTGCAGTTCCAACTTTCTTATTTAGAAAAGCATTGAAATGAAATTCTTCTTATAAACTGAAATTGAAGTAGCACGTCAAAAATGGATTGCACATGTGCAACGCTATCTTTCATATTTGTGGCCGGATTTTTATGATTTTAACAGATGTTGCGTCTTACAAATGGGAAATGAATGCAAGTGGAAATGCGCTTTTTGTAAATCGTTACGATTACTTTTTTGTAGTTTTTCGTTTCTTGTAAAACGAAAAAATGTTCAGCTTGTCGGCGCCTAATTTGATGCAACCAAAATAACATGCGCACGCATTCTCCACTGTCAATTCGAGTACGCTTTATAGGTTATGATGAAGAGATATTAAATTCGGCCGCTATTTCCCTTCAGATTCTTATGGGATTTTCTTCCACAAAAATTAATTCAGTTTCATATCCTCGGTTAAAACTGAGGGTTGTTTACAGTGTCTTATGTCAATGTGCATCGCATTTAAACAATCCGTCAACCGCTAACTTAAAGGTTCAATTGAATTCGCAGGTGACCTAATGACCTGTGCAAGTTCTGAAAGAAATTTACAAATATTGAAGCGATGGAAACAAACAAGAGCTAAAAAATAGGAATGAAAATATAAATATCAAGCTAAACCAAGAACGTGTAGACAAGTAGAAACATTGAAGTTAATAGGAGTATGGATTGAGACGGTAAACTGGGAGATGCAATACCTGTAACAGTTACTCACGTTCCACCATACATCTTTTGTTCTTTATAAAAATGACAGCCTATTAGAAACAAGAATGAGAGAAATTTTAACATAAAGTTTACAAAAATGGTGCAAACAAGGTCAATTTTTTAGCACAAAAACGTCTACGGACAAGTGACCGATTGAAGGTGTTATAAGGGAAAAGGTCAATCTGCAGAATTTAAAAATGATCAATTTAAAAAATACTTATCATTTATATAAATACGTTCAGGTCACAATTTTATAGATATAATGATGTACTTTTTGTGGCAAAGCAGTTTTACTACCTACTCTTATTACTAGTCACAATATACAGCAGCTGTAAAAATAAAAAGTCTTCAACCTAACCAGTAGTTCATGGATTGCTTTTATAAAAACATCTTATAAAAATAATCACTTATACTGTATAAAATTAAAATTGCGTTGGTGTGTTTCAACTTGAGCTCATACATTTCGTCACATATTTCCATTAAATATTTTTTATGCCTTTGGTGTCTGTAACGTAAGAATAAGTTATCTTTACAATCGCAGAAACACTAAGCTTTTACCTTTCAATTACAACCTTCAATGAGTTCTGAAATACACGTTCAGATTCAAAATCTAAGTACGAAGTTAAACTACGGATTACACTGGAGTCCACACTCAACGCTAACACAATCACTTCTCCCGACAGCCGTTTAAATAAACTGTCTAATTGGGATTTTATCTGAAACAAACAAACCAAATGTTTCATTTGAATCTGATATGCAAGATAAGTTTTAGGTAACTGGAAAATAATAAAGCAAACTACCTGATTTTCGTATCTTTTTCTCGTGTTCGCCGATAATTTCTCCATTGTAACAAAAAGGATTGATACAATAGCTTCATGGCTATCGCCACTACTGATTCTGCTATCATTCTTAATATTACTTAAAGGAATTACATGTTCTGCACATCCTTCGTTCCACAGTTTTATTACTCTTTGCATATTTTCTACTAAATCCGGAATTTTAACTACTTTTTCTTGAAATCTGAAAAAAAATTTTAAATAAATTTTTGTGATCTTCAAATACATTCTCACAAATAACAAGTATAAATTGTGCACAACCCTTGTGCAGGTAAAGCGCATTTTTTTTAAACACCCCGACGAAATTTCTTCCATAAATGAGAAAGTTGGCACTGCACATCCTACACAAAACCAAATTTGAAAAATGGCGTTACATTTGCTTTTATTCCAAGTGGTTATGTATCAAATTTCATTTAAATCCCTCCATAAATAAGAAAGATGGCACTGCGCATGCGCAAAACAAAATTTTCAAACTGGCGTTAAATTTGGTTTTATTCCAAGTGACTATGTATCAAATTTTATTTAAATGCCCAATGGTTATATTTCTTCCAAACGTCCCAATCGCCCTTTGTAGGTATTTTCCTTTGACAATTCACTCTTAAGATATAAGGAATTATAACCGATTACGACAAGGGATCGAGGAGGAAGACTATGGTTAGTATAAATTAATTCCTTTCGTTGAGACCTTTCATGACAGTACCATGAAGGATAAAACTAGTTCCCCCCCCCTTCCCACTCCACCCCTTACTTTAATAAAAGGACAGAAAGAAGGGCAGTAGTTTGAAGAAAACTGTTCCTTTCAATGAGACCTTTCATTAGAATACCATGAAGGGTAAAACATGTGTTCCCCCCTCCCCTCCCCATTTCCTATAGTTTAACTTGGCACCACTAAAGGCATGCGTATGCAAAATCTGAGACCAATTGGTTGTCGTATGTAAAAGTTATGCACGTTTTACTTTCAAAAACAGCATCTCAGGCCCCCCTTTTAGACAGCAAAATTTGATCCCCGTCTGGCACACCTTCAAGGTATAGGGTACCTACTGCAAAAAATTCCAGGACTCTAGGACCATTCCCCTACAAGTAGTTCAAAACGGTAGAAGTGGGACTGACAAAACGCAAACAATAGCACATTTTTTTAATGCGCTAAAAAATGTTAAGCAAGGCCATTGGTAGGTAGTTTGTGATTAACATGGCTACTCACCTATCTCTATCCCAGCTGCGAATTCTTACGGTACCCTTCTCAGTTTCTTTTAATATAATTATATGAGAAACGCTAAGTTCAGTACATTGCTCTTGAATTTCTTCGAGACTGCTTGCCTCAATTAAACAGCAACGAATACCAGCAGCCCACAGATCAGTTAAAACCTAAAAACACTAATGCATAGGACCATTACAAGTTCTCGTTTACTCACCAGAAACCTTTCTCTAGGCGCAATTTTGTTACCTAAAGAGCACACAACAGCATCCAGGTTGCTAGTTGTCGCCTCACTGAAATCACCGCCCTCTTGAACAGCTTGGATTAACTTATCGAGCGATATAGAAATCCCAACTGCCGATTGCTGCAGTTCTTTATTTAACATAATAGCCTCTTCTTTAACATTGCGATAACTCGCAATCATACCATCGTACCTGCCACCAGCAGCGAGCACGTCCATTCCACCTCGCCTTCTCTTTTTTTTTAATTCACACACAAACTGGCACATCATGCCCGAATACTGTCGAACATTAAACAGTAAGCCGGGAGCAATGACAACGTTAAACTAAAAAGAACCCATTGGTAAAAGTGCAGCACGGTATCGACTTACATTAACGCCGAGCGCTTCCGCATTTTGTATGATGATCTTCAACTCCTGCAAGCCTTGCTTGGCTAACGTGCTTGCTTCGGTTGATTTTTTTCTAGTTATAATCTGAAATGCGCTCATTATTTTCGGGAACGTGTTTTCCATTTCTATAAGATTGAAAAGGGTGGTAATGGAATTATCCGACAGACCTAAACTGATCAGGTGAGTTTTTACTTGTAATTTCACTTTGCCTTCCTAAAATGAACAAAGCATTAGTAAGATGTCGGTAGCATTTAAATTTGGATAATCGTGCAACCCAAATTGTTGTCTAAAATTCCAAGACTGTGACATTAATAATCGATTGCTGTCTAAGAATACTCAAAGACTACCATATATAAGACAAAGGCAATGGTTCTCAATATGATACAATTTATTATTTTCCAAACGAGCATATAATAAATAAATAAATAAATAAATAAATGGCGCACTCGGTCGAATACCAAATCCAGCAAACTTTAGACTCACAGTTATTTTAGTTCTATGTTAACTTTAATATCTTTTATTTATATTTATTTTGAGTTCTCAATTTTTATAATAATAATAATACCTTTATTTGGTTACATATTGCACCCATATTATCAACTCAGTAAACAAAAACAATTACAAGTGAGTACATTGCGAGAGCAATAGCAACTGAAAGGGCGAAGTTCAGATAGTAGTTGCCCAAGCTCCTACATCTGCTCTTCCACTTAACCCATTTTACATAAATATATATTTAAAGAACGAAAGACTTTAAGCTTTACAAAATATGATACAGAATTTAGCTAGCGTGTATTTACAGGATCGTTTTCCTTTTGAGATCAGCCGGAAACAAAAGTGTAATTTATAACGGGCGATCAAAAATGGGTTGCTGTCGAGTGACCTTTGGAAGTTCAAGTTAAGTGCGATTTCCCATGTAAACAAAAATTCCAAAGGTGACTCGACAGCAACTCATTTTTGATCGCATAGTACTATATTTATAATAATTAGCTAAAAGAAATAGGTAAACACATGTATACAACTTTCGAGGGTCAATCTCAATCTCTAAGTAGATTTTCTAGTACAACTTGATTGCACTTAATTCTTTCAATCCTGTAAAGGTTACCACAGACATAGTTTGTCGTCAAGGTTTGGACTGCGCAGTCCAATCCCTGGAATTTTCAACACTGTGTGTGCTGTACACCGGTGGACTGTACAGTCCATAAAATCCTATTCAAAAAACCATTATGAATAATGGCACAGACCTCTTTCAACACGTTTGGCGTGTGTGGTAGAATCATTGGTTAATTTATCAGTTTTCCGCTGTGCACCGTTCATGATTGTGAAATAATATAAACCTTCAATTTGTGGAGGGACTTCATATACAAAAGTGAGACTTGTCTTTGGCAAAAGTGTGAGGAATACCACGCACGACAGGAATATTTGCTTCTCTTCATTAGCCATTCCTTCCCCCAGGCACTTCTTTCAATACGCTTTTTTTTTAGTTTTACTGCGCTTCTTCACCATAATCCAACCAATTATCGCCAAAGTATCGTCGTCAGTAGATGCCATTATTATACAAGTTTTTAAACTTGCAGTTGAAAGTTGAAATAGAAACTGGAAATTTGGTTCATAGCCATAATCAACCATTGCAAATTGAAATAAAATAATTTCAAGATGGCGCCGCTTCCGTAAAATGTTAAATACAAAAGTTGTAGGGTTTATCACAAATCGGCAGAAAATGTAGAGTAAAAAACATATGAATATCGCAAAGTTAGTAAAAAATGCAAGTGTGGTAAATTTGTAATGGAATGCCCTGTATATTTTTCAAAAATTGAATAGATCTTTCCTTTCTGATTTCAAAAAAATATACTTATATGTTGACATTTGCTTTAGCCGTTTTTGAAATATTTGCATTTATAGTAGTTGCCATAGCAAAACAAATGGTCATTATTAATTAATATATTATTTTTACACTGGAAATAACATAGAGCAACTTTCCTTTTTAATATTTATTTCAATAAACAAAAACTAGGTAACCAAAATTTACAAATTCTAGATATGATCACTTTCTTTTCACAAACCTCTAAAGTAAATGTCTACATATTATATATGTTTGAAATCTATTCAATTTTTGAAAAATATACAGGGCGTTCCGTTAAATATTTACCAAATTTGCGATATTCATGTTCTCTTACTTTACATTTGATGGCGATTTACGATAAAACCTACAACTTTTGTATTTAAAGTTTTTCATATCTCTTATAATAACCGCGCTACGCGATATCTAAATTTACTAAATAACCCTGTACTCTGAGTAAATGACTGACATTGACATGACGCACATCTAATTTTTGCAGTATCAGTTGTGTTTGCCTTTAACAGAAGAATCTGTGATTAAAATTTCAAAAAGATATCTCGATAAATAACAGTTGATAATAATCTGATGTTTACAATATGCGATACGTTTGTTTACACTAAAAGCAACTTTTGTTAAAATTTCAAAGAAATATCTCCATAAATAAGAAAGTTGCCATTGCGCAGTCTGCGCATGCGCACATCTGATTTTTACTATATGCGATATGTTTGCTTTCACCCCAGAAATATGTGGTTAAAATTTCAACAAAATATATTAATTAATAAATTAAACAAATATAAACGAGCTCCTGGGTCTGGCTATAGCATGTGCAAAACCAAATTTTAAACCTGATGTTAGTTTTGCTTTTATTTAAAGTGTATATGCATGAAATTCCAAGTGGCTATGTATCAAATTTCATTTGAGTGCCTCCATAAATAAGAAAGTTGGCACTGCGCATGCGCAAAACCAAATTTTGAAAATGGCGCTACATTTGCTTTTATTCCAAGCGGCTTTGTATCAAATTTCATTTGAATGCCTCCATAAATAAGAAAGTTAGCACTGCGCATGCGCAAAACCAAATTTTGAAACTGGCGTTAAATTTGCTTTTATTCCAAGAGGCTATGTATCAAATTTCATTTAAATACCTTCATAAATAAGAAAGTTTGAAATTCGGTCTGTAAATGGGCGAGATGCGCAAAGGGCACTGTGAATGCTGATCGATTAGCCTCAACTTTTGGAATTGTGTTTTATATGGCTAAAGCTATGGGCACATTGATTCATGCAATTCGGTTCATAACTAACGGAGATGTAACGGTTCGTTAATTTCCGTCGTATGTTATAATAATTTGTATATAAATTGGTCCTTATGAAGCTTTACTAGTTCATTGTAAAACTGGCCGAATCTAGAGTTGAGTGGTAGAACAGCCCTAGGCTGAACTTCGCCCTAAAATCAAGGCTTTGATTAATGTGTATACACAAAGATGACATAAAGACCATATTATTATTATTATTATGTCAAAAGGGCCTAATTTATTTTTTGGGCTACATTGCCAATTCACGCACTCCGATCTACAAATTTAATAAAGAATCCACCTGCAAAATTTCATCGTAATCGGTCCATTCTTTTATGAGATGAGTTATCGGAAGTCGACATTGCAAAGTCTGCGCATGCGCAGTTGAATTGTAAAGATTTTCCTTGGCTACGCTACCAAATGCAAAAAGAACGAACTTAATATCTTGAAAACTGTAGGAGTAGTTAAGGTCTCGGACAGACGGATGGACAGAGAAAGTGGCTGCAATAGCGCAGCCAACTTCGTTGGAAAATGCGCTAAAAATAGCAACATAAAACAATCTGGGGAATTTCGTGAAATTGTTTTCGAAGAAACAGCTCGTTTGGTTATTTCTAATGTGCTTGTATACGGTCAGGATTGTGTTTTATTTTTAGATTAGACTGAGTGTAAATGCTATGAAACAAATTTTAAATACCACTGTAAATGAATTCTATGTTTATAGGTGGCGGTACGAAAAAGGCGTTTGATACGGAGAAGGCGTTCGATTCAAAAAAATGCGGTCGATACGAAAAAGGCGGCCCATGGAAGATGCAAGAGGTGTCCTTTCCCCTCTCGGGTATATAAGGTGATGATCAATATGGAAAGAACAAAATGTATCCTTCTCTACAACGTTTTTCTTCTCTAAGGCGTTTAAGTTTAGACTGTGTGCGCTTTCAAGTAGTTTTATTAAAGTGTATCCATATGGAAGTGTCGCTTATTTTGGTATGTGTCCAAGTAAACCTTAAATGATATTGTGTACCTATTTATACTACTTTTATTACATTAACTGTTAATATACACATTAAACCTGGCATATTTCAATTTAGTAGACAAAGAAGTTAACATGGCCAACTTAAGAATAATAAACCATTAAGAATGAGGAAATATCTTAGACCATACAGTACATGGATTTGCTATTAACCCTCACTTTCTTATGGAAACACCTTTTAGAGATATGATTTAGCTATCTGTAATCGTTTGGCCACTACGGGGCGTTTGTCGAATTTAGACGATTTCTGTAATGCCCCATAACATTCTTATTTTATAAAAATAATTAATTTTGGAAAATCTTTCTCAGAACAATTTTTTATGTAGAATTCATTGCGATGCAGGGGGCTTGATTTTTTAAAACTGAGCACTCTATATATTTTGGAGATTTGGAAAAGAACGCAAAATTTCCTAAATTTTGATGTTATCACTTGTTATATTTACATTAAATATTATTTGCAATATTGCATTTTATAACGGGCGATCAAAAAAGGACTGACGTCAAGTTGCCTTTGAAAGTTCAAAATTTGTCCCATGTAAACAACAATTCCAAAGGTGACTTGACAAGAACTCTTTCTTGATCGCAATGTACATTAAAATATGTAGATATTTTTATTGCAGACATCTAGGTTTCCACATGGAGAACAAAAGATGGCAGGACTGTTAAAAAAGACAATTTCTGGGCTATCTGGAAATTTTTATTAGTTCCAAATATTTCAAATAACACACAGAAAAGAACGAAGGGAAACAAATTTGTGAATAAAACAAATGGTAGTGTGACATTTAACGACTCAGTTGACTCAACGAAACCACGCGTCTTTCATTGGCGCCTGTCTGCGTAGTGTTTTCAAAAATTCCCAAATATTATAGGGTGGTCCGTATGAAAAATGTAGTGTAGGATCCTATTAAAAAAAAACCAAACATCTTGTTGAGCTACAGACACCTAGGGCCATTTTTTCCTTTATTTCCGTGTTAACGTCCGCAATACTTATGTATGCTTAGAATTCATAAACGGATTAATCCAGACATATGCAGTTTTTTACAGTGCTTACAAGTAATGCGCAGTTGAAGCAAAACAAAATAAAATGAATGGATGAAGGCCCCGTATGAACCGCAGACGCTAAAGAACTCGTGCATGCAAAGGTATTGCGGAAAACATACCTAAATTATTTAATTCATTATTATTAAAAAGCGTTTGAAGAGTTGCTGTCGCATAGTTTTTTGTGGGAAATTTAGTCTTCTACAATTGGCTTTTCCTGTGTTTTAAATCAAATAGGCGCGCTTGTGAATGTAGAAGAAAACGCCACACTCCACTAGCAGAAGTGTTACAGTTACAGAAGTCTTACATTGCATCGACTATGATTTTTACACCAGTAATTCATACACCTCTCTTTATTCTACACTGTGGTGAAGACATGACAGTTTGTATCAGTTTCCCATAGCATATAGTTTCGATGGTTATTTCCATTTTAACAAACTGATATGTGCCACTTTTAATGTTCTGTCTTGATCCTATTTTGAGTTGAGATTTTTGCACTATGTGGCGTTTTGTCATACCCACTGCATAGTTTTTTTTAATTTTAATTTAATTTTATTTTGCCTTTATTTTTGAATGGGCGGGGTTTCAGCCAAGGCTGCTCTACCAACCCAACCCACTATACATTTACATCCATGCCCAAACCCGGATTCGAACCAGGGACCCTTAGCACAGCAGTCCAGCTTTAACTGAACTGCGCCACACGGATTCTTCACGATCAACGATTGCTAATAACAAGTATCATAAAGAATTACGGAAATGTTCCTACCTTTGCATCTGATAAGATGTTAAAAACGTCATTATGACGATCTTTAATACCACAATGAAGCAATACAGCTTTAAGTAGCGAAGTGTGATTCAGTCGTATAAAAAACTTTTTGTTTTTCAGTCCGGGCAAAGCATTGACGATTTCATTAACAATGAAGAGCACTTCGGCATCCGTTACGAAATTACCTAATGGCATTGGAAAAAAACATAAACTTAGAAAACAAAACAGAACGCCTGGTTCACCTGGATTAGGAGTGACGACATCAAATGCACATTCGTATAATTCTCTTGGATGAAAGCCGAAAACCTTCTTTTCTCTGTAAACACGTTCGATTGCATATCTTCTCAAAAACGTTATGTTATTCCATGCTACATACCGTGCGAAAGATACTCTGCGAGTGATGAGCGTTAACATCATGTAATGAAGACAAGTAACTTACCGTAAATCATGAGGCAGCGATGTTATACTACCGGAATGTGTCATTAGTTTTACGCACGAATCTATTGCGTCATAATATTTACTTTTCGGTAACAATAAAGGTGTCGATAAATTCTGTCCCCCATGCAAGTGAAATATCTACAAACAATCAGTCATAGATATCACAAATTTCAATTAATTGTAACTTACATTTTTGACAGTTTCCTTTACATAATGAAACAACTGTAAAGACTTTGTAATGTTAGGAATCACCACATTCATATCATAGGTGATGTCCTGTGCAGCAGTCACAGGCTGCTGAAAGCAAGACGCTATAAGGTATTTGTATTCTTTCAACTGTGTGTTACTAAGAGTGTGCCTAAACATTTCTCGCATCTTCTCCTCTTCAACAACTGGAGGCGGCACCAATTCCGATTGCAATAATTCCTCAGAGGTCGGTCGTTTTGCAACGTCATGATTCAACAACCATCTAAAAGGCGAACTAAGTCACGGATAATTTTTAGTAATGTAATCTACCTTATCAGAATTTCTTGCTTATGGCACTCCTTCCTATTAAAATCCGCCGGAAAGCATACCTCTTTAAGTCGCAGTCCAGTTAAAATCTTCATTCTCTCCATTTGAGTTTTAAGCGGAACGTAACACATTTCAAATAAAATTATGCCTAGACTGTAAATGTCTACCTTTTGATTGTATATTGTCTTTAAGTTTGAGGTAAGCTCCGGCGCTGTATATAAAGCAGTTCCGACATGACCAGTTAAACTTCCGTCACCAACTTCGGGTGACCAAATTATTTTCTCATTTTCTAAAAAATTTAGAGCTTATTCAACAAATATCATTATATGAAATATGGCAAAAAGGGCTCAGAATTATAAAATTTTGAATGCCTCAAAAAAGATTGTTAGTAATTTTATCATTGAATTCTTAATATTACAATTGTGAAACTTAACAACGGCACTGATTTGTACCAAAACAACTGGTAAATAGTTAACTTTTATTGTTTAAAATCGATATCATTTTTGGTGTAAATGTTTGCTCAATTTATGGTTAAGTTTTGATTACATGGTCTTGATCCAAAGTTTAATTCATATTTTTGGTCATTGAGTATTGACTATTAAAGTAACTGATCAAAATCCAAAAGCCATTTACACAATTATAGCGTCTTATTTTGCGTTCCTTCCCTACTGTACTTTAAGTCATGGCGTTGTTTACAACTAACCTAACGGGGCCCTGCCAGTTGGCTTTTGAACATTTTTAAACGTTGCCATGTTTATTTTATTTCCGTGTTAGTGTAGTGTGCAGTTAGTGTAGAACCTGGGGGTGAAGTACACTACTCGCTGGAGAAAAATATCCCAAGTCAAGACTTTTTCTAAAGTTTCATTTATTATTTTACTTTTATATTATAATAAATGTTTAAGTCTCCAACATTATTTACAAAAATTTCTCAAATTATTAAGTAAATACTAATTTAATTCTTTAAGTATCATATTGTACTCTTCTCCCTAACAACATAGGTATCCTTGTAATATTAATGCAATTTTCGACACCACTATTTCTTAAAGTGTTCTACTACATCAGAAACATTCGCGGACATTTGTAATTAATATGTTTGGCCGTCCATATTTTCGGTTCTTGACAAAAGTCGACGAATTGCATTCTTCTAGAGCCGTAGTAGGTTTCGTTTTGGCGCCATCTATTAGTAATATTGCTATTGAAAATGACGGAGAAAAGAAATTTTTTTTACGCCTTTCCGTGTAATTTTTTGGAAATTATCGTTTATACAAACCTTGTCCTGATAATAAAACAATACAAACAGTAACAGTAAAAAAGAATGATCTAATTAGGTGCAGTCATTCTGAAGTGATGCGCGTACATAATGCTGTGTAAACAATGTCGAGTTGGACGTTGAAGTGAAATGGGTCGTTTAATTACTAATCAAAGGTTCATTTCAATTCATTTAATTAATCAGGTGGGTTTCCTTGCGGTTAAACATAATACGATTTTGCGTATCTAGCCAGTACCCAAGGTATTTGTATGTTTCTTTGTAAAAAAGATTATCTCCTAGAATTATTAAGGATAGGATTATTTGTTCCGTCCAAGATCAAGATCTTTACACATATTTCTTCCAGACGTCCTAATCATTCTTGGTGAGTACCCTCCTCCGACAATCTGTTCTTGAGATACAAGAAATTATATCCGATCACGATAAAGAGTGGCGGAGGACTATGGTTGGTAGAATGAATTGCTTTCATTGTGATCTTTCTACCATGAAGGATAAAACCTATTCCACCCCCTCCCCCCCAACCTCCTCTTTTGATAAGGAGTCAGAAAAAAGGGACGGTAGTTGGTAGAAAACAGTTCCTTTTGTTGAGACCTTCAATTAGAATACTATGAAAGATAAAATGAATTTCTCCCCGATATTCCGATGCGATATATGCGAATATTTTAGTATCAAAGAGAGCTATTGAAAAAAGTTTCAAATAAAAGTGGCAAGATTCGATGGGATAAATTCAATTGACGTAGAACATTTTTTTTCAAAGTGGCGGTTTTCGAGATATTGAGTATTGACATCAACTTCCTTATTTTAAATGGACGCCATATTATATTTTTTCGTCATTTGATAAATAAAAAATTATAAAAACAATGATACCAAACACTTAGTATTTCATTTGGGAATCAACCTTGCATTTTTGCCTCGAAGTTTACATTATGGCAATAATTCCATGGCTGATTATGATTGAAACCAAATTCATTCGTTTATTGTCCCGCATAGTCACCATCGACACGGCCATGGAATTATTGCCATAAGACATCCATTGTAAACTTCGAGGCAAAAATGCAAGGTTGATTCCCAAATGAAATACAAAGTGTTTAGTATCACTGCTTTTGTAATTTTTCTCTATTATCGAGTGATGTAAAAATCAAATATGGCGTCCATTCATTAGCATTGAAAACTACACAACTTTGCCAATTTAACCGAATCTGTAAGTATAATAATAACAAAGATAGCCATGATGATAATAATAATAATAATAATAATAGGCGTTTACAAGTTTATAAAAATAACTAAAACATAATTTATGTGACAACCCAAAAGGGCGATGTTCAGATTGGTACGGCATCCATACCATCCGCTCTCCCACTTCACCCTTTTATGTTATCCTACTCCAACTCTATATTTTTTGGTAGTTTATCCCACTGTACATGTACCTGTAATATAATCAAAGACACATAACTTTTCTCCCATGTGCTAGTTCTTCAGGCTGTAATCTTTTAGGACTATTTATTTCTCAATCGATCAGACCATATTTTTGACACGAAAAATGTATGTTGCACATGTTTTCACGGTATTTTTTCAGTAGAATCGAATTTCGAGATCCAATTTGAGTTATCATCTCGTTTTCCAGTCGAAAGACGCAAAAAAAATTAATTTTGCAACTTAAATTGTTAATAACAAAAAAAAACAGGAATTGGGCCCGGTACCGTCGAAATTGGGATTCAGCGAAAACATAAAATCAGCCCATGGTACCTAGACCGTATTTTTGACCTCTTATAAAAATTACATACACATTCTATAAGACATCACTAGCAAAATGCACTACTTTGGAATTATGATTTTGCTGGAGTCACTTTTTTGTTGTTTGTACAACAAAAGATAAGTTGTCTGCAGTGAGAGGTCAATAAAATGCCATAGTGGTGAATGTATCCAATCTTACAAGATCTATGCTTTTCAGGAATTGTTCTTGGACAGACATATCATCAATGCACAAATGATGCAATTGTATCTCAATTAGTGTACCTACTTACTATATACAAGCGAAACAATGTTTCAACTTCCACATGGGGGCCGATTCTAACTGATTTCAACGGTCGAAAAAGAATTTCGACGGCGCCATGACACCAAATTTCTACTCTTAGGGTGTAATAGGAAGTTTATGTTTCTTTAAGTTTGCTCTTATATTTTGCTAAGTTGGCTGTTTGATTTTGAACTATTTTAAACTTTATAAACAAACCCTTATGTTCGACCCTAACCCTACAGTAGCTACAATCGTACCTATTATTATTCCTCCATTAAGGAAATTAAAATGGTTTTTTGTTGGGATGTGATTTTAGTCTCCGCCGTTGTAAGATACGTAGGTAAAAGTAAAACAAAACAAAGCCACGGATAAAAAATGTAAACAGTGTACCAAAACACAAAATTGAGGTTAAAACCACGTGCGACTTTCCGAATAACAAAGTGCGCACTGTCGCTATCCCTTCTATTTCGACGTTGAAATCGTAATTTCAATCACTCTAGTCTAGTTGAATTTATTTTCAACGGTAGAAAAGTTATGACGTTTCAATGACGTATATTAGTAGTTCCTGATAATACCAATAGATGGTTACGATCGCAATTTCGACGCAACTACTGAAATTTCAACCGTCGAAATCAGTAAGAATCGGCCCCCTGTTCCACAATCAAACTTAGCACTCTTGTACAATCCTTGGAGGGGATTCATTAACACATTGACATTTTTCTTTTATTCAATGGATAAGCTTGTTGATTTTGGTACAGGCACCACAACGAAAAAGAAGAAATTAGGTATTTTTAATCTCTTACATTGTACATATACAAAAATAGATCTGCCATATTATTGAAATTTTTGGAGAAAGTTTCCAAACTACTAGAGAACCACCTGGTGGTTACTAAAGAATTTAATTTTTATTTAAAACCAGTTCTTGTATTTTGGAGATTATGTTTCACCCCAAAACGATGATCCTATGAAATGAAACATTCTTTGCCTAGTTTAAAAAAAAATGTTCCAAAACCCACTCGTGGGTATTGCCGCGTAACACAAAGTATTGAAACGATGCGTTGCCATCGAAAGCACACAAAATGTCGAATCTGCATATTGAAGCACGTCCACGTCCAGAGAAAGAGAGGAGTTAAATAAGTAAAATAAAGTTTCAAAGAAATATCTCCATAAATAAGAAAGTTGGCATTGCGCAGTCACTGCGCATGCCCACACATAATTTTTACCATGTGCGAAATGTTTGCCTTTACTAGAAGCAGCTGTGGTTCAAATTCCAAAGAAATATCCCCATACATAAGAAAGTTGGCAATTGTGCAGTTACGGCGCATGCACTGCGCAATGCCAACACATAATTTTTACTGTGTGTGAAATGTTTGCCTTTACTAGGAGAATCTGTGATTAAAATTGCAAAGAAATATCTACATAAATGCGAAAGTTGCCATTGCGCAGTCACTGCGCATGCCTCCACATAATTTTTACTATGTGCGAAATGTTTGCCTTTACTAGAAGCATCTGTGGTTCAAATTTCAAAGAAATATCTCTATAAATGAGAAAGTTGGCATTGCGCAGTCACTGCGCATGCCCACACATAATTTTTACCATATGCGAAATGTTTACCTTTACTAGAAGCGTCTGTGGTTAAAATTTCAAAGAAATATCTCCATAAATAAGAAATTTGGCATTGCGCAGTATGCCCACACATCACTGCGCATGCCCACACATTATTTTTACTATGCGCGAAATGTTTGCCTTTACTAGAAGCGTCTGAGGTTAAAATTTCAAAGCAATATTTCCATAAATAAGAAAGTTGGCATTGCGCAGTCACTGCGCATGCCCACATAATTTTTACTATGCGCGAAATGTTTATCTTTACTAGAAGGGTCTGTGGTTAAAATTTCAGAGAAATATCCCTATAAATATGAAAGTTGGCATTGCGCAGTCTGCGCAAAATATGGAGTTAAATGAAACTGATCGAAATGGGCAAATATAGACCATAACAGCTATCAATTAGCGAAAACGCGAAGTCTCTAGGTGGCCCAGGGGCCGAGATCTCGATGGAACGGACGGACGGACGGACGGAAACACGAGCACATAAGCTTTACCTCAACTTCGTTGTGTTACGCTAAAAATAGACATTCGATTGTAGGAATTACGCAAGTATGTATAATTGAACATGTGCTTGCCTATAAGTATTCGAGCATGCACAAATCGTGTTTTTGGTATGTATTGTCAGGAGAAGATTTGTAGATGATATTTTTAAAGACCTCCAGATACCAAATTTCATCGTAATAAGAAGTATTTTATCATCCCATGGCAAATAAGGCACTCTTTATAGAAATGAACATGTTGCCATGTATGCAAGTCATATTTTAGCAAAAAATATCATAATTCAACAAAACGAAGCAATAATTTGGAAATACCTTGTGTGTTCTTACTGTTGGTGGACACTTCGCCTGTTTTGGTTAAGATGTTTGTTGTAGCCAATCCGAAATCTCCAATTTTGACATGGTCATTTAAATCCAAGAATATATTTACCGGTTTTAAATCTCTATGAATCATTCCCTGTTGGTGTATGTGCGCCAAACCTGCATAATAAATCATTTAGTAGACACCATATAAATATCGGATCGTGCCGTACCTTCAATAATTTCTCGAAATAATCTCGAAATCCTATCTTGATCCATGTACAAATCAGAGTCAATTGCCGTCCTTAATGTGCTCTTCTCGCAGAATTCCATTTGAATGTACATAAACTGAATTACTCGGCCTCGCGGTGTTGCATCAACATGCATGGAATCATTAGCAGTAGTAATACTATTTGATTCGTCACAGGTAGTTTCGCTATCATCTCTTTCAAATTGTATACTATCAGAGTCTGAAGACTCCACATCTAGTCTAGAAGCAATTGGATATTAAGCAATACAAAAATACACATCCTAAACTGTCATACATAACACCCCAATCTTCTTCATCATCATCATCGCTAGATTCATCATCGACAACACCAGGTTTCGATTTACTTTCATAACTAATAGACCATTCCACATCTTTGAGCGGAGGCGCCAACATCTCCACGTCATTTTTAAAAGTGAGCTAAAATTTTTGTTCTTTAAAATATTGTGGATGCATCACATACCTCATCCTTATGAACTGTTTTTGGCAAGTTTGTAACATTGGAGGAGTCAGTTCTTGAAGACGGTGGGGTATCATCGTCAATTGTCGCACTCTCAATCCAAGCATTGTAATATCTAACAACATTCTCATGGTTCAGCTTAGATAAAAGTTTCACCTCTCTCGTTATCTTTCGATTCAATTGTTTGTTTTTCGGATTTAGTTCAATTCGCTTGATCGCATAATGGCCACCGTCCAGTTTATTTCGCACCTTTAAAACGTCACCAAACGCTCCCTTTCCGATCCATTGCATTACCTCAAACTCACTTTCTACCCTCGACTGACCCCCGGAGTTGGAATGGCTTAATGTTCTTATGTCAGTTAGGATTGGTTCTGGTGATACGTTTTTTGTAATAGGGAACTCATCCACGTTTTGGGGAGGGGATAAACGCTCTAAGGGAACTTTTATAAATGGATGATTTAACAGTTGCGCTGCAGTATACCGTTCTTTTTCTTCTCTTGTCAAACACCTACAATTAACGAATTTGTTTATTTCGATTTGTCAGCATACCCAATGCAACAAAAAATAAAAAAAAGCCCTAACCATACAAGAATCTAAGAGTGAGAATTAAATAGAAGGTAGGGGTGGGTCTGGTAACGTGGCCACGCTAAGCTTTGAATGATTGTTTTGCGCATGTGGAATTTTTAATTTCTTGATATTTAAATGAAATTTGATGCTGGGGTGGATTAATCCTGCAGTATATTTACAGTAGCGTATATAGTCCTAAAGATAATTATTTACACATACATATACAGTGTTATTTATTAAGAAGTAGACATTGGGATTTATGTACAGGGTGGCCAACTAAGAATGCGAGGTACTGTATCTGAGAATCTATCCATCGTAGAGGCTTGCGGTAAAAAATTATATTACTAAAACGGCCACGAGCAAAACCTGGAAAATATTTTTAAGTTTCTGAAATGACCGCTAGGGGGCGTAACTGCAATCTGGAATCTAAAAAAATGATGTTTCTGCGAATTTCGCTATATTAACCTAACAAAAAAATGTCCGGTCTTTGAAGTTGACGATAATCTGAACAATTTTTGTTTGGCAATTTTTCCTGTATCTCTAAAAATGAAGTGGTGGGGGGTATTTAAAGGTTTCCGTAAAGAACACCCTGTATCTTCGAAACGGCTGAGCCGATTTAAACAAACTCGGGTTGGTTCAAAAGAGCTATTCTTCAGCTACAAATATTATACTATTTGAAGTTTTGTTAGTTTCACATATCACCGCTTGAGGGCTTTTTTCGACATTCCGACAGAAATGGTTAATTTTCTCAAAAAAATTAAATGCATTGGTTCGATTTTTTTTTCATGAAAAAGTACCTAAATGATGCCTAAACAAGCTCGCGAAAACAGCATCTCGATATCTTGAGATATATATATTTTTTTTTATATCGTGATGGCCAGCATTTCAAGCTTTACGGCAGCATTAAAAGCTTCCTTTTTTAAATCGATCCACCTTAGGGCTACAAATTATATAAATAAAATAATTCCGGAAAAATATGCTTAAAAAAATAAAATTTTGAGGGTACATATAAAATTTTCTTTGGCCTAAACTTTAGGTTAGGAACAAGATATCGAGATGCGGTTTTCGCGAGCTTGTTTAGGCATCGTTTAGCTACTTTTTCATGAAAAAAAATCAAACCAACGCATTTAATTTTTTTGAGAAAATTAACCATTTCTATCGGAATGTCGAAGAAAGCCCTCAAGCGGCGATATGTGAAACTAACAAAACTTCAAATTTATAATATATGTAGGCGAAGAATAACTCTTTTCAATTAACCCGACTTTGTTAAAATCGGCTCAGTCATTTCGAAGATACAGGGTGTTCTTTACGGAAACCTTTGAATACCCCCACCACTTCATTTTTAGAGATACAAGAAAAATTGTCAAACAAAAAAGGTTCAGATTATCGTCAACTTCAAAGACCAGACATTTTTTTGTTAGGTTAATATAGCAGAATTCACAGAAAAATCACTTTTTTAGATTCCAGATTGCAGTTACGCTCCCTAGCGGCCATTGCAAAAACTTAAAAATATTTTCCAGGTTTTTCTCGTGGCCGTTTTAGTACTAAATTTTTTTACCGCAAGCCTCTACGATGAACAGGTTCGCAGATACAGTACCTCGCATTCTTATTTGGCCACCCTGTACATTGTTTTTCCCTATATCTACTTTCAAAAGACAAAATCTCTGCTGAAGGGCGCCTAATTTTAATTCCGTATCTTATAGAGAGAAAAAAGTGGCCATAATAGTATGATTTATTTTGAAATATCTTTTTAAATAACTTCGGTAAAAAATAAAAACGATTTTGCTAAATCTCCAAAAGATGGAATTTTTTCATTTTCAAAACGGCATTTTATTAAGCATCAAAATACGCAACTTTGCCAAATTTAAACTATCTACCTATCTCTTCCAGTTTCCGAGATTCCCATGGTCGCCCTCAAACTGGAATCAGCCTGTATACAGGGTCATTCTTGACGAGCGTCAGTTAGAAAGATATGGGAAACCTTTGAAAATTAAGCTCAACTGATAAGTCCTTTAAAGGTTTTGGCACATGATGAATTGAACTAAAATATTTTCAAAATAGCGCCACTTCCGGAAATACCGGAAGTAGCCATCAACTTTGTTATTTTAAATAGGGACCCCCTATTTTTTCTACATTTTCGGATTCTACGTCGAATTTGGAGTACAACGATACCCCATAGTTAACTCTTTGCTCCAAGGGCTTCGCCGATATTCAAGTTTTTGTGTCAAAAATTGAATTTGCAGGGGTAACTTTAAAAATTTATTATTCGAAAACGGTGAGAGATATTGCAAAACAGTTTTCAATGCTTTATTAAGGAAAGATCAAATTTTCTTATGGTATGCGTAACCGTCTAAAAAAGTGAGACTACGTCACTTTTTCAAAGCTCTCAACTTTTAAACTTTTAAATATCCGTAACTCCATTTTTTCAAATGGCACCCCCCATTTTGTTCTTCACCCTTGTTTTCCTTTTTCCCAGACCTTTAATTTGATGCAAAATTTCAAAAGCTGCTTCAAACGGTTTCCGAGATATTCCATGTTTTAGTTACTTCTTGTGGAAAGTTGATAAAAAAATTAAATCGCTTGATGTTATTCTTTTGTTTTTATTATGATAATGTTTAAACGTCAAATTTTCGCTGCTTGAACTTATACTTCTCGTCAATAATGGCTCGTTTGGGTTACACTAATGAAGATTTTTTGAATTTAATATTAATACACGGTGAATGTAATCGAATAGCTGCCAGGAAAAGCAGCGAAAATTTGACGTTTAAACATTATCATAATAAAAACAAAAGAATAACATCAAGCGATTTAATTTTTTTATCAACTTTCCACAAGAAGTAACTAAAACATGGAATATCTCGGAAACCGTTTGAAGCAGCTTTTGAAATTTTGCATCAAATTAAAGGTCTGGGAAAAAGGAAAACAAGGGTGAAGAACAAATGGGGGGTGCCATTTGAAAAAATGGAGTTACGGATATTTAAAAGTTTAAAAGTTGAGAGCTTTGAAAAAGTGACGTAGTCTCACTTTTTTAGACGGTTACGCATACCATAAGAAAATTTGATCTTTCCTTAATAAAGCATTGAAAACTGTTTTGCAATATCTCTCACCGTTTTCGAATAATAAATTTTTAAAGTTACCCCTGCAAATTCAATTTTTGACACAAAAACTTGAATATCGGCGAAGCCCTTTGGGCAAAGAGTTAACTATTACCATTATCACGGTTTATAAACATGTAATTGATTAATGTGTAACTATTTTTGTGAAAAATATTGAATAACATAAAAACTATGTGGTTTAGGCACAGGACACCTCTCATAAAAATTGCAGAGCACACATGGTAGGATCCTGTATACAGAGACTAGCAGACCCCACGAACTTCTTACCGGCTTTTTTCTTGTGTATGTGTTAAGCATTTAAAAATCTATCTACAGATAATTAGTTGCACTGAATTTGGCCAGAAAAGCAAAAGAATGAACACAAAAAGTACCTCATTAAAAAATCATGAAGATCCATTTGAACGTTTGAAGGTATTTCTGGATTATCATCAGAGGCAGAACAACCTCGAATTAGAGATAATAACAATATTCCAAACTGGTAAATATCAGTTTTCTTATTATAGCTGCTTACAGACTGACAATGAGCAATCAAATCGGTTAAGCGTTTATAAATACTATAATTGCTTAGTTTAACCGTGCCTAAAACACATCAATATTAAATCTACCAATACATCATTGCAGCCTCACCATTAGTGCTAATGTAAACGCAGGATTTGGTGATATCTCTATGAATAACGTTATTTCGATGTAAAAATTCTAAGGCGCTCAATACTCCGATGGCAATGTGTCGCACCATTTCAGTTTCAATGGATAATTCATAATTGAAGACAGAAGAACACAACCCTAAAAATCAAACAAAAATATTAAAAACAGCGATTAAGGACATTTACAAAACAACAACCTACAACAAATTCTTGTAAAATATTGACAATCACTCGATTACTGTCTTTGACATGTTGCTGTTTCACATTCACATAATGCACAAGGTGTGAGTGTTTCAATTTAATTAGGTAGTTCATCTCCTGTTCAATGCTTGTAACTTGTCGACATACTTGTAATTCATCAGCATTTTTATAATTAATAATCCATTCTCCTACAGCAAATAACTCCCCAGTTTCTATATCTAAGCCATGGTAATATGTAACCTGCCCTTCCTTTAAGTGACCTACGAATGTCTGTTGCTCATTCGCTTTGTTGTTAAGTATTCACTTACCTATACAACGACCCCTTTGAATTTCTCTAATTCCATTATTTGAAAATTCGATCACTTGAGTGCCATGATGCTCACACCTTGAATCTTCGTGGTCGAGTGAACTCATTAGTGCTAATGTAAACGCAGGATTTGGTGATATCTCTATGAATAACGTTATTTCGATGTAAAAATTCTAAGGCGCTCAATACTCCGATGGCAATGTGTCGCACCATTTCAGTTTCAATGGATAATTCAAAAAGTAATTGAAGACAGAAGAACACAACCCTAAAAATCAAACAAAAATATATAAAAACAGCGATTAAGGACATTTACAAAACAACAACCTACAACAAATTCTTGTAAAATATTGACAATCACTACGATTACTGTCTTTGACATGTTGCTGTTTCACATTCACATAAATGCACAAGACTGACAATGAGTAATCAAATCGGTTAAGCGTTTATAAATACTATAATTGCTTAGTTTAACCGTGCCTAAAACACATCAATATTAAATCTACCAATACATCATTGCAGCCTCACCATTAGTGCTAATGTAAACGCAGGATTTGGTGATATCTCTATGAATAACGTTATTTCGATGTAAAAATTCTAAGGCGCTCAATACTCCGATGGCAATGTGTCGCACCATTTCAGTTTCAATGGATAATTCATAATTGAAGACATACAAACAAAAATTTAAAAACAGTTAAGGACATTTACAAAACAACAACCTACAGTAAAATATTGACAATCACTCGATTACTACATACATTCACATAATGCACATGTCAATCATCTAATGCTTGTAACTTGTCGACATATAATTCTCAGCCCAGTAACTTTTCTATATCTAAGCCATGGTAATATGTAACCTGCCCTTCCTTTAAGTGACCTACGAATGTCTGTTGCTCATTCGCTTTGTTGTTAAGTATTCACTTACCTATACAACGACCCCTTTGAATTTCTCTAATTCCATTATTTGAAAATTCGATCACTTGAGTGCCATGATGCTCACACCTTGAATCTTCGTGGTCGAGTGAACTAGCACTGTTACTGCTTTTCCTAAATAAAACACATTTGGAATCAAATTGGTTCGCTTAATAGAAGCAGTACCTATTTTTGCCCGGATAATTTTCATCTGACTGGTCACTGTCAAATCGTTCTCTCCTCAGTTTAAATTCTGATTTAAGAATCTCTCTTCTTTTTTCTATTTCGTTGAATATCACTTGTCTCTGAAACAAAACGGTTACTGATGCAAACACTGAAGCTATTAATGGTAGACAAGTAGTATACAGGGTGAGTTTTTTTTCATTTTAAGCATTAGGCAAAATACGTTAGGAAAGTTGTATAAAAACTAAACATTACATATACAGAATTTAACACTATATGACTCCCGAATTGCGTCACGACAAGCCCTATAAAGTAGTGATCCAGACAAAGAAGTATGTAAAAACAGTCCAGATTTAGAGAAAGGAAGCTCCAATAGCACCTCAACAGATCAGGAACTTGCAGCCGGAGAGGATCCTCAGATTTTTAGACAAACTGCCTCTCTTGGAGTAAGATACTGGGGCACGCACAATAAATCAAAGGGTCAAAGTGTATAGGCGTGGTATAGCCCAACCCAGAGAAAAAAAAAAATGGCTTTGTTCATGAGTAAGTCAAGACTGCACTCGCTTCTCGACTTCTGCTGTTAGGTACTGCAGGCGTTGCCCACCTTGTTCGTAAATGAACGAGACATGGACAACCTGTTACAAATAACTACCAAAACATTTTTTTAGTACTTGGTCAATAGAAGTAGTCGTTGATATAATGTAGTATCCTATGTAAAAACCCACAATGCAGCACTGCCTGTCTGGCTGCCTACATACGCATTCTCTTTCATTGATTGCATGATGCTATGTAAACATACTTAGTGATGACGTCATGATACACTGATGACGTGCGCGTAGACTAAAATGCCAAGTGTGCCAAGTATGAAATGAGTTTTGTTGTGCTTTTTCCCAGTTCACATCACAACACTTTTTTATGTAGATATCGTCTAAAATTTGGAGAATCCTCCTCCTCCCCCGATGGAGTAATTATGTGAGTTCCACGCAAAAGGCAGTTTCTATTATGCAACAGTGTACCAATAAGACAGGTAGACGAACTGCTGATAAATTTGTGAAGCAATAAAGGAGTAAAATTATTTGTTACTTGAATGGAAGGTGTCAGTCTGCAAAAATTATAGCTGTCCAATTGGTGCTTTTATCAATTACAAAAGGGGTTTCACAGGGGTCTATTTTGGGACCACTCATGTGTATAATAATAATAATAATAATAATATTTATTCCATAGACAAACTAGTTTGAGTGGAAGTTGTCAACAAATATCTTAAAATTTTGAAATTACATTGAATATTATATAGGTAAAGAACAAATTACGTATTAAATAGCGACAAACAAGTTACATTAACCAGTAAAATATTCACTTACATCATAATGACTTTTGTCAACTAGAAACAAAAATAATTTTTCTTTAAAGATTTATAATTGCCTACAGTTACGTATTATGTGAGGTAAATGGTTATAGATCTTAATTCCCAGATTGGAGGGGGTAATACAAGGTATAATATACACTCATCACCTCGTTCTTTAGTTTGACAAATATACTGTGTATTGCAAATTGAAAGAGTCGTGTTCATTTCCCGTTGAAGAGTACTTCACTGCTACTCGTAAAATAAATAAAGAGCTATGTTCCATTAAATCAGTTTTACGCATGCACTCATTATCCATAAACCTTTAATGGGTCTTCAATCATAATCTTTGGGAATGAAGACAAAAATGATTCCCTAAAAGACAAAATCAACTTCACCTTGCACAAGATGACCATACCTATTAAATCTGGAGAAGCACCCTGAATTTGAAGTTACATGCGTATAACATTCGGTATACGAAAGTTAAGTGACCTGAACTGACTAGACATGAACAACAAATGAAAACTAGTATTTTCAACCTCGATTTGCAACACTGTCATAAAGTGCTCTTAAATAAGCAACCGGTGTATCTTTATAACGAAATCTGTTTTCGAACAAACGTTCACAACTTAAATTCTCCCAAACACTCCACTGCTTTATTTGAATGAAGCTCTCAGTTTCAATCGGTTTCAATTCATATTTAATTAAAAAAGTGAATTTCAAAAAAGATGAATTAGGCAAACAAACTAGATTCTTATTTTACTACTTGCATTGCAGTAAATAATTAATTTGTGACACTCTTTTGTTTTAAAATATCATGGCCTACGGACATTCCTTACAAAACTTGAAGAGAATACAAGAAAAAATATAGTTTTGACACTGTGAAATTCAGAATGTTACCACTTCATTGTGAATGTCCTGTAATCCAACTTTCATTATCAAAGTGTTCTCCTTCACTCGGATTAACATTATTGCTTAGTGATTTCCTATACTTTAAAAATCACGGTTGCTACGATTTATCAAAGTGAGGCTTTCTTATGGGGAATTATTCGGGAAAAAATTAAAAAGATGGCAACGTTGCCAAAAATCAAAAAGTTTCCATGTAGAGGTTAACAAATGACCTCAAAACAATTAAAAATATACAGTGTTCTATTTAAAAAAATCAGTTATTTACACCGTAAAAATGAAACACCCTGTACATTCAAAACTACTTCGTGGAGATGCGCAACCATCTATAGTTGAGGATTTTTATATTTCTTAGCATGTATGAGGTAGGAAAAATTGTTGCAGGACCCTGAAAATGGATACATAGATAACATAAACAAATACAAACCTCTCGATCCCTTTCCAATTGTTTTGCTTGCTTTAATTTCTGCTCCTCTGCCTTTTGCCTATTTAACATTTCCTCGTAAAAACTTTTAAATCCGGGTTTGTTGTGTCGATAGAGAAATGACTGCGTATGCTGAGCAAGTTCGAAAATCATCACCTCCCCCAATAAATTGTGGGCTTCTTGCTGTAGCTCAATTTGTAACTCGTCCAACGTAGCTTTCGACATGCCTTTGCCATTTTCAAGTAAGATCTCCGGGATGCTGAAAATAAACTCCACTTGGAACAATTTTATATATTTGTGATCTATTCATTTTCACAATGTACAATAGATCACGCACATAAAAAGGAAGAAAAAAATTGTGCGAATAGTAGAGCAAATGAATGGAACATGTTTAATTCTTACTCATTAGGATATTGTTTGGAGCAAATAATGTGAAGCTCCACAGTAGCATACACCTCGTGAACACCAGAACTTCCTTGTTGTGGAGTCAGCTTGATTTTTACGTTTAAAGGCAGCCATAAATTCCAAGCAACTTTGTCACGTAAATCTTCCAACGCATCTCCAAAAATTGCCTACAAACATTGCTAGTTATCAATCCCGATGTTAGTTCACATTTACACCACCTTTAATGCTTCTATTTCGTTCTCTTGTCTGATTTCAATAGAATCTTCATTCAACATCGCTCTTCTGTTATAAAATACGCATGGTTTGTAAGCGCTTATTATGCCCGTAGGTTTTAAAATTATCGAGTTATATTCCTTTATTAATTAACTACTAATACAACATAATAAAAATAAAGATTTAATTCTTCACAAAAACATCTCTTTAGAATTTACATAACCTCAAAAATTGTTCTGTGAGCGTGTCGCGTACCGATCTAGAGATAAACAAATCAGTGGACAGTGGCGGATTGCGTTATGCGTATATGGGGTACCTATTCCTGTTGATGGGATAGTACGAGCATTGTTTATTCATCTAAAAATTGAAATAATTTTCAAACGGTATGTTTCGCTGGCAAACTTTTTACGGCACAAACGAACGGGCACAAATTTAGCAATAACCAATCCACTTTAAGTCCCGAGATTTATGCATATGTGGATTTGTGCCGACAAAAGTGTCCGAAGTTAGCAGAACATCTAAAAATCGAAATGATTTCCAAACGGTAAGTTTTGCTGGCAAACTTTTTACGGCACAAACCGGCACAAACGTAGCACCACAGACAACATCTAACCAACCCACCTAGTCTCGAAATTTCTGCCGCTAATGTTCTGCTACCTTCACGGACCCGCATCTTGTAAAGTATGTAGAGGGAAAAAAGTGGCCATAGTAATATATCATTTATTTTGAAATGTCTTTTTAACTTCGATAAAAAATAAAAATACAAAACTTCGGACATCTCCAAAAGTAGTCGGAATTTTTTCAGCTTCAAAACTGCTTTTTTGTTAAGCATCAAAATACGCAACTTTGTCGAATTAAAACCATATATATATGATTAAAACTACCTCCGTATTTCTGACAGTTTCCGACATCCGCATGGTGGCCCTCGAATTTGAATCAGCCCTGTATGTACAAAAATGTATTTACAAATTACAACATACATAGCGATCAAAAATGAATGACCGTCGAGTCACCTTTGGAATTTTTGTTTACTTGGGAAATCGTACTTAATTTGCACTTCCAAATGCCACTCGACAGTCACTCATTTTTGATCGCCCGATGTACTATGCGATCAAAAATAAGTTGCTGTCGAGTCACCTTTGAAATTTTTGTTTACATAGTAAATCGTACTTAACTTGAATTTCCAAAGGCGACTCGAAAGCAACTCATTTTTGATCGCCCGTTATATAAAGGAAGATATTATTATTAAACAAGTGACAGTCAATTTGTACATGCGGCGATGCGAAGGTCCAATCGTGTTTTAATAAGCCCAACTGAACAAAATCAGTGTGCGCGCAAATTGTTTGTCATTTACTACTAAAAATTTTCGTTTTTACCAAAAATAAATGTAGACCTAGACAGTAATACGAGTATCACCCGTAATAGGCAAATAGCGTTCTACAAGCGCAGATACACTCAACAAATTGCAATTTACAATCTACCAAACTCTTACCAAGTTTAAAAAATAATTACTATTTAGTTTTGGAGAAATGTTTATAGGAAACAAGCGTTCGGAATTAGCAGAGCGGTTTTCTAACTAACCAAAAAAGTGCCCGTGATGGTTATTAGCAAAATTCTTCATCAACGCTAATTTTTTTCTTAAACGTCCGGTATATAAGCGGCGATCACATGGTTGGTAATGGTGAAATAAAAAAGCAAAAGAACTAAAAGTATGACAGTTGGTCGCGATAAAGTAAAAGGAAGGTAGCAACACAGAAAGAAATTGGTGTTGATCTGCCAATTTTTGGTAACGCGTCAGGTTTCTTTTAACTAAAATCGGTTTTTTAATGTGCAATAAAAAATAGCGCTTTCAATAGAGCGGTCGTAAAGGTCAAATAAGCGCCGACTTCACAATGTCGGACGAAAGCAATCCAAAGACTTTGTATGTAGGCAATTTAGATGTGACAGTGTCAGAAGATCTTCTTTGTACCCTTTTTTCGCAAATAGGCCCCGTTAAAGGAGTTAAGATAATACGCGAGCCGGGAAATGACCCTTACGCTTTCGTCGAATTTACAAATCATCAGTCGGCGTCGACGGCGCTGGCGGCAATGAATAAACGAGTCTTTTTAGACAAGGAAATGAAAGTGAATTGGGCCACCAGTCCTGGAAATCAACCCAAAACAGACACTTCCAATCACCATCACATATTTGTCGGTGATTTGTCACCCGAAATCGAGACAGAAACTTTAAGAGAGGCCTTTGCACCGTTTGGAGAAATATCGAATTGCAGGATAGTGAGGGATCCACAAACTTTAAAGTCGAAAGGTTACGCGTTTGTTTCGTTTGTGAAGAAAGCCGATGCTGAGAATGCCATACAAGCTATGAACGGACAATGGTTAGGATCACGTTCAATTAGAACAAATTGGTCGACGAGGAAACCGCCACCTCCTCGAACAGATAAGACCACGCAGCGAGGAAAACAGCCAACATTTGAAGAGGTGTACAATCAGAGTTCTCCGACAAATTGTACAGTTTACTGTGGGGGATTCACGAGCGGCCTTACCGAAGAGCTGATGCATAAAACATTTTCCCCGTTTGGAGTTATCCAAGATATACGTGTTTTTAAAGATAAGGGTTATGCCTTTATTCGTTTTACAACTAAAGATTCCGCAACGCACGCTATCGAAAGTATTCATAATACTGAAATAATAGGTCAACTGGTGAAGTGCTTTTGGGGCAAGGAAAATGGAGGAGCGGCAGGTGACAATAATGCGATGGGTCCCGGAATACCTCCAGCTCCTTCGCAAGCGGCACAGCCATACTCATATGGATATGGTCAAGGTATGGGATATTGGTATCCTCAAGGATATCCCCAAAGTTACTATCCATATCAATATCCCTATCCTGGGAATAATCAGCCGTATTGTGTTGTCCCGCAGCAAGGTCAGCAGCCGAATGCATCATTAATGTACACATCAATGCAGAAGTATCCAACGCAGTGAGGTGGCACGTTGAAAAGAGTGAGTGTTACGCAAACGTTGTTGCAGGATTTTGTGTTAATTGGTCATCTCTTGTAAGAGTTTACATTATTATAAGATATAAAGTTGCAGCAAGCATGTGTAACATAATTACGATGTTTTATATTATTGCTGGAAGGACTAATAAAAGGAATAAATTGTGTATATTACTTGAGAGAGAGTGAGAGTCACTAAGTCAAGTCAAATTTGTCGAAGATTTATTGATTGTTCATAAATCGTGTCCCAAATGATTTTAAACTATTTAACTACTACTAAGTTTGCTAGTGTCTAAGACTGTCGTTTTAGCTTTAGGCGAGACACGAGCAAAAATTCGTAGACTTCTACGCAGTAGATTTAGCTAGGGTATCTCTTAATTGCATTACTGTATTTACAGATGAATGAAGCGCCTCTACAATATTGTAGTTGTGTCTCTATACACATTCTGCCTATCATAAGTTAATGTTCATTTGGGGAACTAGCGATAGCGGGTTGTAAGTGGTAGTCGACCTGTTTCGCATGTGAAAGACTTGTAAAATGATTTTGTAAGAAACTATTGTAAATGCTAGTTGTTAATAAAAGTTTGGGCAAGGGATAGAGTTTATTTTTAAACATCTTTAGTGATTAATGTGGTTTACTGTAGGCCAAATTGTAATAAAAACAGTATTAAACTTTCGATATTGCCCATATTACCCTTCATAAACTTTGTCACTCAAAGGACACGTAATGTGTCGATTTGCAGCGTGAATAAATATTAAATTTTTTATATTTGCATTTTGAAAATTTATGTAAACTGATAGCTACTGAAATTAAACCAAAGCTTCTTAACAGTAAACTGAAACAAGAATTACAGCATAAAAACTAAATGGACTTTGAAGTGATAGAACAAGATAGTTCAATAAGTAAATCAACATGCGCTCCTCTGACACCCTTTGACTACAAGGATGCTATAAGCTGTGCTGCTCAGGATTTCCAGAACCTCTTGAGCCAGATAACTGCAATTTAACAATGACAAAGGTTAGGAATGGAGTTGAGAAGGTAGAGTACTGCTCCAACATTTGCCTCATGGACTTCAACAAATAATTTAACTAGCCATCTCAAGACAGAAACAGTCGGCCTTGGAATTCAATTCCAACACCTCCCCAAAAGTCACAAATGCTACAAAACCTTGGTTTCAAAGTATTTAAAGCAATAGAATGGACAAGGAAACAGCAATTACATAAACTGAACAATAACGAAGAAATATAGTATATCACAGGTCCGTGAAGTTGTAGTGTCTACTTGAAAAGAATTAAGTTGCAAATATCGCGTAAATTTGTGCAGATAATTCAAAATTTTGTGCTCATCAGGGTTAATGAGTAATTCAACGTTTTCTGATGACACTTCAACTTCATGCTGTAGTGATATTTTCAAAATTTTGTTTTACTATAATAGGCAAGTTCGACATTTTTTTATTTTAATTGAAATCGAGAGATTTTGCTATTAAAAAACGATCGGAAACAAATTGGGTGCAAAATATTGATATTTACGTCCGCTGTACGCACTTTAAAATTAAGGGTCGGCGCGAAGCAAGGAAACGTACCTGTGCGCGAGACTACCCCGCGTGACGTCAGTAGCCAGAAACAATTGCACAATGCTGCAAGATTATCCAAAAGCTGATTCGCGTAATTTACCCCATATGTGAATGTGGAAATTAAGTTTTTGCAGATGAACATGTCAACGTTAACGCCGCTGCTCTGAAGTTCATTTAAAATTGCGTTATTAGGCAAAAACTCCATTTCCACATTCACATGGGGTAAATTTCGCGAATCAGCTTTTGGATAATCTTGTAGCATTGTGTACACAATAAATAAATTCGTCCCAGTTTACGTATACTCTGCTAACGCCGCGGCGGCTATAAATGTTTCTGGCTCCTGACGAGTGACGTCACGTGGGGTAGTCTCGCTCCCAGGTACGTTTTCTTGCTTCGCGCCGACCCTTAATTTTAAAGTGCTTACAGCAGTTACAGCGGACATAAATGTCAATATTTTGCACCAAATTTTTTCTGATCATTTTTTAATAACAAAATCTTTCGATTTTGGTTAAAATAAAACAAATACAAAAAATGTCGAACCTGATCCCTATTATGTGCTAATTTGTGCTGCTTAAAATTTTGTGCACAGTAGGTAATTCAACTTCGTCTGATGTCACTTCAAACTTCACACGTACGAAGTGTCAACATTGATATTTTCAAAATATTTTATTGCATTAATTTGGTCTCATTTTGTGGTAATTTGTTCTGCTAACTTAAAATCTTGTGCTCATCCCGTCAATGGGCAATTCAAATTTTTCGTATGACACTTCAGTGTCAATAACATTGATATCAAAATTTTTCTTCACTCTTTTTATACACTCTAATATAATAATATAATATAATTTAAAATTTTGTGTTTCACTACGTTACGCTCCTATTTATTACTGTAGTGCTAATATTGAAATTGTTTAGCTTCGACTAGCTTAAGTTAGAGGTGCCTATTGCGATCGCCGTTTTTTGGACATAGGGAATGTGGTTGCTCCCGACAAGATATACTGATGAGTGATGGTGGAGTCACAGTCAAAACTGATGACTAGAATAGAGAATACTGTTCTCGCAGGGCTGGGCAAAATACAACTACTATCTGTATTTGAAATACAAAATACAAAGTAGGTACTGGGAACAAGGTACTGTGCGATCAAAAATGAGTTGCTGTCGAGTCACCTTTGGAACTTTTGTTTACATGGGTAATCATATTTAACTTGAACTTCCAAAGGCGACTCAACAGCAACTCGTTTTTGATCGCTCGTTATCTAATTAAAAGACTAGATAGAAAATACTTTTTATACTTTCAATGAAAATACAAAATACATGTAGTTTTTATATTGAAAATAATAATACAATATTTGAAATAAAAAATACATACATATATTACATATACAGGGTGGTGACTTGCGTAACGCACCATACGGATTTCAATGTAAAATTCATAACATGCGATTATTGGCTCCCCAAATTATTTTAGAGCAAAAATGTATTAAAGTTTTTTGTAGAAAAAATTTTTTACGCCATTCAACCGTATTAGTTTTCAATTTTTTTCATAATAAATACGGAAAATTGGAAAAATAAAACCCCCATCTTTTTCAATAATCTGCGATGCCATGAAATTTTCTAAAACAAAAAGATATCCAGTTATCAATTAGCAGCAGTTCGAAATTGATTTTATGATCGATTTGGCTACTGTCTTGCTGTTAATGGTGACATATTCGAACATTTATTGTAAATTGTTATATTAGGAAACCGTTTTTAGTAATTTGGTCTTTCTTTATATTGAATTCGCTGTTCTAAATATAATACTTTTTGATAGAATTTGATTTGTTTTATAGCAGACATTCCATGGCACGGCCGATATTGGCGTAGTTTTTGTATTATAAAATTCCATGGCATCCCAGATTATTGAAAAAGATGGGGGTTTTATTTTTCCAATTTTCCGTCTTTATTATGCAAAAAATTGAAAACTAATATGGTTGATTGGCGTAAAAAATTTTTTTCTACAAAAGCTCTAAATTTGGGGAGCCAATATAATCGCCTGTTATGAATTTTACATTGAAATCCCTATGATGCGTTACCCAAGTCACCACCCTGTATATGAGGGTAGTTGAAAATCCGTTTTAAAATGTTAAGTTAATGATAATGTTTTGGCATTCTAAAACTACCAGTTTTTTTAATGAACTATCGCTAAAACACCCACGTGTGTTGGAGAGTTGATAAATCCTGTAAAAAAATGTACATTGTTCCTTTGTTCAATACAAATTGTTAGAAATGTATACCTGCCTGCATAGACGCACTCTCGGCGAGAGCTGATGAACACAGACTAGTATATTGTTAAGGTAATTATCCAGACAAGCGAGAGATTTGTCTTTCTTATTTATGGAGCAATTTGAACGAAATTTGAGTGATAAAAGTAAACAAAACGCATGCGCAAATAATCGTACTGCGCATGTGCAACTTTCTTATACCGGGTGGTGCACGGTAAATAGAAACATTGGGATTTAACATATGGGAAATTAGTTTTATGCAATATCCTGCCCTCCTGTACATTTTACAGAAAAAAACTGTAGAGTTTAAAGTTGTTCGAATTAAAAGGTGCATACAAAACTGTTTTTACATGTTTTATTAAGCTTTTGGTATACCCGCAAATTTAAAAATAAATTTCAACATTTCTGTTATTGGTAGCAATTATTGCCATGACTTTTGTTGTTTTATGAATTGCTACTAATAACAGAAATGTCGAAATATAGTTTTAAATTTGCGGGTATATCAAAAGCTTAATAAAACATGTAAAAACAGTTGTGTATGCACCTTTTAATTCTGAACAACTTTAAACTCTACAGTTTTTTTCTGTAAAATATACAGGAGGGCAGGATATTGCATAAAACTAAATTCCCATATGTTAAATCCCAATGTTCCTATACTTACCGTGCACCACTCGGTATACAGGGTCATCTTGACGAGCGTCAGTTAGAAAGATATGGAAAACCTTTCAAATGGCACCCCCCATTTTGTTCTTCACCCTTGTTTTCCTTTTTCCCAGACCTTTAATTTGATGCACAATTTCAAAAGCTGCTTCAAACGGTTTCCGAGATATTCCATGTTTTAGTTACTTCTTGTGGAAAGTTGATAAAAAAATTAAATCGCTTGATGTTATTCTTTTGTTTTTATTATGATAATGTTTAAATGTCAAATTTTCGCTGATTGAACTTATACTTCTCGTCAGTAATGGCTCGTTTGGGTTACACTAATGAAGATTTTTTGAATTTAATATTAATACACGGTGAATGTAATCGAATAGCTGCCAGGAAAAGCAGCGAAAATTTGACGTTTAAACATTATCATAATAAAAACAAAAGAATAACATCAAGCGATTTATTTTTTTATCAAATTTCCACAAGAAGTAACTAAAACGTAGAATATCTCGGAAACCGTTTGAAGCAGCTTTTGAAATTTTGCATCAAATTAAAGGTCTGGGAAAAAGGAAAACAAGGGTGAAGAACAAAATGGGGGGTGCCATTTGAAAAAATGGAGTTACGGATATTTAAAAGTTTAAAAGTTGAGAGCTTTGAAAAAGTGACGTAGTCTCACTTTTTTAGACGGTTACGCATACCATAAGAAAATTTGATCTTTCCTTAATAAAGCATTGAAAACTGTTTTGCAATATCTCTCACCGTTTTCGAATAATAAATTTTTAAAGTTACCCCTGCAAATTCAATTTTTTACACAAAAACTTGAATATCGGCGAAGCCCTTGGAGCAAAGGGTCAACTATGGGGTATCGTTGTACTCCAAATTCGAGGTAGAATCCGAAAATGTAGAAAAAATAGGGGGTCCCTATTTAAAATAACAAAGTTGATGGCTACTTCCGGTATTTCCGGAAGTGGCGCCATTTTGAAAATATTTTAGTTCAATTCATCATGCGCCAAAACCTTTAAAGGACTTATCAGTTCAGCTTAATTTTCAAAGGTTTCCCATATCTTTCTAACTGACGCTCGTCAATGTATAGAGCAATTGAATCAAAATTTTTAT